GTACAGATTGGTAAGTCTAACCATAATGCATATTTTATTTAAACTTGAGATATGTATATCGTTTAATCATCTCTACATCAACCCAACAGTAAAATTGAGATCGAGACCATGCTTCTCATTAAAAAATAAGCCATTCGTGCTATACCTTATTTTAGAAAATTAAGCAAAAACAATAGGCATGGGCTCAAAAGTCTTAGAATGTTATCGGATTACAAATTGAACTCGGCCTCGATGTGGTAAAGTTCTAACAAACGATATTGAAATATTTTCGAGTTTAGAAACGCTACTATTATAATTTTCTGAATTTTAATGACTCAAACCTGCCCTGAAGAGTGCAAACTGCCGTGGATAGTGAAAGCTCTGAACCGTTTGCTTCTTTTCATTTATTCTATACATGCATAATTATTCAAAATTTAACAATATGACTTACCGATATCCGTCTTTTTCTCCACTCTTTTCTATATTTAAGAGGCCAGTGCCGTAGTGAGTTCATAGCAAAACCAGAGTAAAATATTTTCGATATATACAGAGAAGAAATATATTTAATCAATTTTTGTCTGTTTTCTGAAATCCTAAAATGGCCGGAATCTTTAAAGTTAGTGAGTTGAACTCTTCAAGAACGGCTTTAATTGGCACCAGATTTGTTTGTTCAACCTTGATCTTCAAGAGGCATATGAGTTACGAGACATGTTGTAAGATACCTATATGTTTTTAAAAAATAATTATTTAGAACTTATAATAATGATTAATTGTTGTTGTAACTACACCTCCTGTATATGCTTGAATATGACTGGAGAGAGTGAACAAGGGGATGAGGACGAAGAAGAAAACTATTTGGATATCAATGATTAATAGGGATTTAATTTATACAACCCCTGCAATGACCTTTGTTTTACTCTCTTTTGTGTTAAAAGCACATATTATTGGGATGTCCCGATAGTGCCACTGATTCTTATATGGTACCTTTGTTGTTTATGTTAAAAACTTATATTAAACTTGCGATTTGTTGTTTAGGAACGTTTTAGAAGTTTTTTATGTTGTTATTCATCGTTCGTATGATGCTTATATGGTTACCCATTTCGATTAAAACTCTCTTAAAGTTCTGTGGTTTCTCAAACCAGAACTTCTCTTTGAATTTTTTTAATAAACAAACTTAATGAGTATTCGTATGCCCACGTAGTATATATAATTGGACAAATAAATTTAGCAATGAACAGCCCACTATTGGTAAATATATATTGTTGACGTGGATGCTCTATACAGAAATTTTTTTTTCCAATTATATATACTAGTGTTTTGTCCACGTTACAAGTGGATAAGATAATTATATTGTAGTTTTGTAAAAGATTTTCAATTAATTTTTGTGATGAATTATAGAGTAGTATATTTGCATATGATTCTTAGATATGTCGAGTGAAGTAAACATCAGAAGTGTGTATATATAAGTGAAAAGATGATCGAAATTTTTGTATAATAATTTGAAGGTAGATCAATGTATCTTTTGGCTTAGTTGAACTTTTTTTAAGAGTTAATGCATTTTTTTTTTGCAAATATGAAGAGTAAAGTTTGACCATTCTTGTATAATAATTTGATGTATATTTTTGTTATATTTTGTGTTTACGTAAATAGTATCTACATGAACTATATATTATATTAGAAACCTTTTGTCTGAATTTGGACATCTTATGTCATAATGTCATTTCTTTAGTGAACATCATGAGTATTTTTTTACACTTTCAAATTTTTTTTTGCATAATCTTTCTTTTCGCTTAATGCTTTTAAAAAGAATAACTCAATCCTCACTTCATTTTTGTTTCATATTGTACCTTACGATTTTGTTTTTAATTTTCATATAGTATTCATTACTCTACTTATCAATTTTTAAAAATTCAGTATGTACATAGATGTTTTATAATTAGTTCATGTATTCAACGAAGAAAACAAATGACAATTAATAATAAACTTCTTTATTATATGAGTTCTTTATTAATTGATATAGTATTTGTTTGATAGTTTAGCTAGCTCGATCATTTTCTAATACTGGTGAAGAGTGTGGAACTTTATAGTTATATGTTATTTGAAAAAAAACTTTTTAGTTTTATGTTTCATGAACTTTTGCAAATGAGAATTAAGAAACAGTGAGTAATTGTCTTTAATCAGCGGTTCTTTAGTTAGGCGTTCACGTCGGTTTCTTCATAATGTCTGATTACAACGAACAATATGTAACTCTATATCAGTTTTAGAAACTTGAGATACTTTTCTCTAGAAGAAAGAAAACCAAGTCACTCTCAAGTTTTACTTTTGGCGAGAAAGACGTTCTCCAGTTCCAATAATACTATAATTGAGACTCATTCTTGCTCACATTATAAATATAAATGCAAAACAATTGTGAGATTGTATTTTTATGTTGAGACACATTAGACTTCATTTGTGATAGAGCTGTGTATTGTTTATACCCCATGTGGCTCATCACTATGGTTTTTTTTTTAACATCCTCATTGCTATGTCTTTTGGATTTCCAGACGTTTGCGGTCCACTTATTTAAGTTTTATTGTTTATTGTCAGTTTGGTTGTCATTAATTAAAGAGTAAAGTTAGTGTTTAGTAACGACTGATTACATTTCTGGTGAGTTAGAGACGAGAAGATTGGATATCGAGAAGACTATGACTCCATAAAATGAGCTTTTGTTTGAGCTTTATAATTGAGTTTTAGTGTAATTCGTTTTCAGTTTTTTTTGTTGGACTTCATTCTTTCCTTCTTTTGTTGAGAATTTAAGAATCATGGAAGTTTTTTGTAAACAAAATTTGAAAAAAATTTGATTAATAAATTATTTAATAAAATAGCTTTAAATTATTGGTTGAAGAAAATGACATAACAATTTTGGAGTCTACCATTAACTGATTATTTCTTTTGATTATTTTTGGTGATGTGGCAGTCCTTATAAACCTTGAAAATTTTCCTTTTTATATAAAGGAGACTAGTATTTTGCCCACGCTATGCGTGGGTTGTATAGTTATATTGTAGTTTTATAAAAGGTTGTCAATTAATTTTGTATTTAATATTGTGATAAATTATAGAGTAGTATATTTGCATGTGATTCTTAGATATAATCGTGCGAAGTAAGTATCAGAAGGATGTATATATATATGTGAAAAGATGATCGAAATTTTTGTATAATAATTTAAAAGTAGATTAATATACTTTTTGGCTTAGTTAAACTTTTTTTTAAGAGTTTTTGCAAATATGAAGGGTAAAGTTTGACATTTTGTATAATAATTTGATTTGTAATTTTGTTATATTTTTTGTTTATGTAAATAGTATCCACATGAACTATATATTATACTAGAAATATATTGTTTAAATTTAGACATCTTATGTTATAATGTTATTTCTTTAGTGAACACTATGAGTATTTTTTTATATTTTCAAAAATATTTTCCATAAGCTTCCCTTTCGCTTGATGCTTTTAAAAAGAAAAACTCAATCTTTACTCCATTTTTGTTTCATATTGTGTATTAGGATTTTGTTTTAAATTTTTATATAGTATGCATTTCTCTACTTATCAATCTTTTAAGATTCAGTATGTACATAGATGTTTTATAATTAGTTCATATATTCAACGAAGAAAACAAATGCTAATTAATAATAAACTTTTTTTATTATATGAGTTCTTTATTGATTGATATAATATTTATTTGATAGTTTAGCTAGCTCAATCATTTGCCAATATTGGTGAAGAGTGTGAAATTTATCGTTATATGTTATTTGAAAAATAAATCTTTTCAGTTTTATGTTTCATGAAATTTTGCAAATAAAAATTAAGAAACGGTGAGTAACTGTCTTTAATCACCAGTTCTTTGTTTAGGTTTTTACTTCAGTTTTTCTACAATATCGGATTACAACGAACAATATGGAACTCTATATCAGCTTTAGAAACTTGAAATCTGTTATAAGTCAAAAAGTTACAATTGTATAAATTAATTTTCTCTAGACGAAAGAAAACTGAGTCGCTCCTTAAGTTTTACTTTTGGCGAGAAAGACGTTCTCCAGTTCCAACAATACTATGATTCAAACTCATTCTACTTGATTCACATTATAAATATAAATGCAAAACAGTTGTGCGATTGTATTTTTATGTTGCTTACAACAATCTCAAGCATGAGACACATTAGACTTCATGTGTGATAGAGTTGTGTATTATTTATACCATATGTGGCTCATCCCTATGTTTTTTTTTTTTTTACATCCTCATTGCTATGTCTTTTAGATTTCCAAATATTTATGTTCCACTTATTTAAGTTTTATTGTTTATCACCAGTTTGGTTGTCATTAATTAATAAGTAGAATTTGTGTTTAGTGACGGCTGATTCCGTTTCTGGTGAGTTAGAGGCGAGATGATTGGAAACCGAGAAGACGATGACTCCATAAAATAAGTTTTTGTTTAAGCTTTATAATTGAGTTTTAGTGTAATTTATTTTCTGTTTTTTTTAGCTTTGTTTTTTTATTGAGAATTTAAAAATTATAAAAGCTTTTTTTAAATAAAATTTGAAGAAATTTTGATTAATAAATTATTTAATAAAATGGCTTTAAATTATTGGTTGGAGAAGATGACATAACAGTTTTGAAATTTACTATTATTTAATTATTTTTGCTGATGTGATATATTGTCTTATTCTTATTGGTTAATTTTTTTATAATTTAACGATATGATAATTTGTTATATTCTTATTGGCTGATTATTTTTGCCTATGTGACAGCCTTTAGAGAGCATGAAATATATCCCTTTTATATAAAGGAGATGATTTGTGTGTATATTGGTAGATTTTCTTTGACTCTTTTTTAAGGTTAAGCTTTTATAAATCTTGCAGCTATAAATGGGTTATATCGAATTCTATATGTTTTAGAGATTGTACAAAGTTCTTATTAACTCTTGATTACAGACAAAGATACAGATTATATTCAACAGACAGAAATTACATAATAGATAAAAGTGAACACTCTCATCGAAGATGATGCCTGTGAAACCAAAGAAGCTTAATGTAAAAAAATTCTTCAGCCCAAATTTTACAATTTTCAAAAAGAAAAAAGGTGTCTTTGAAGAACATATATACATATGCATACCTTAGTGTTTCTTTTGTTCCTTTGCGAATTTTGCAGCGTATAGTTGGGAGCCCTAGCTTCTGATGCGCCTCGTACCTGTGACAACCTGAGAAGCCTGCAACAATGGAAGAAGACTCATCATCTCTAAGCTTTTCACTATATAAAAAAGACAAGATCTAATTAGAAAAGCACCATAGTAAGCTCCATCAACTTCAATCACATCGATCTGTCACAAAACGAGCACACACACACAAAATTAGATTGATCAATTTTGAAATGTGATTCTGTGTTTGTTGCATATGAATTGAAAAAAAACATAAATCGAATCGGATTGTAGAAGAGAGTGAGTTTTGCTTAACCGGAACTTGAAGACCGATTTCTCGGATGCTATCCATGAGCTCCTTCACTTTGTTCTGATCGTTGGACCTTGTTCGCATCAACGGTCTCCGTATCTTCTCCAGCGGCAATTCCACGATCATCGGCCCTGCACCGCCGCTAGATCCTCCGACCATCGGCGGCGAACCTGAAATCAAAATCAATCACAGATACAGCTTCAGATTCAGCTTAATTTTCAGATTAGGGCTTCGAGCTTTACCGTTCGATGAAGAAGCCGAAACGGAGAAGCTCCTCAAGCTGCATGGTAATCGCATCATCAAATTCGCCATTGTCGTCGTCTTCTTCTTCTCTCCTTTTCCCTTCTCTATCTCTCTATTAAATTAGCATAAAATAATAATATTATTATTATTCGAAAATATTTTGTGAACGAAATATAATGACTCAGCACGACGTCGTTTACCTGAAAATGTCGAAAGAAAAGTCAGTCGAAACAGTTCTCGAAGCAGAGCTTCAATGGCTGTCACTTCCTCCTCTATGCTGCTTCGGTAAAACTCTAAATCTACAGCTTTTTGGACTTGGTCGTTGAATTGAATTATGCTAATGGATTCGAGCGTTTCCTGTTCAGGAACTTCTGTACGGCGGGTAGGATTGTTCAGTCTGTTCGAGTAAATTCGAGAATCTTCTCCACTGGGGAATTGATTAGGGTTCTTCCTCGAATTGGTTCTCCGAGGTGAACATTTCTCAATTCGGTTTGTGTTTTTATGTGTTTGATTGTTCATATGTTTAACTGATTGGGTTTAATCGCTCGCTAGATCCATCTGTTCTACTCTCGCCGCGCACAATGAAGAGGCGGCTGCGAAAGCTGCGGCTGCTGTTGCTGACACCGGAGCTCCGACCATGTATGGATTCTCCTAACACACTCTCTTTATGGTTTCATTAACATATAATATTCATCTGAATTATGAAACGCTGGAGTTGAAATCTGAGAATCAGTTGACCCTAAGATGGAATTTTTCTGAAGGGTTTAACCTTACTTGGAGTAGCATCTCTATATTGTCTGGAATCTTGAGGTGGACATTAGGATTAATCAGTAAAGGATTTGTGGTGTTTTTGCCACAAATGAGCCAAATATTTCAAACATCTGACCTAGTTCATGCTCTAGTTCATGCTCGTGATTGATTTAGATATGATTCTTGGGAGTCTGAAAGACTTTATCTCCTTCTTGTTTTAGATTTGACAAGATCATAGCAAAAGAGATTCCATCAGACATTGTCTATGAAGATGAAAACGTTTTGGCATTCAGAGACATAAACCCACAGGCTCCTGTTCATGTTTTAGTCATCCCCAAGTCGAGAGATGGCTTGACAATGCTTAGGAAGGTGAGACTGTTTCTGGTGCAGTTGAATTGACTCTAGCAGTCCTACATCGAGATCAATATATGTGTCAATGCTGCCTTATCTTTTGCCTGCGTGTGATCATCAACCCGATAATAAAAGGAAATATTCATGTGCAAAGAGTTAAGTTTGCCTTTTGGTGGGACAGATTAAGATCTTACCTGAACACAACTTTCTGTTGTAGGCTGAACCAAAACACGTAGAGGTTCTTGGCCAACTTCTGCACGCATCGAAGATTGTTGCTGAGAAAGAAGGCATCCTCGGTTCGTTCCGTGTGGTTATCAACAATGGTGCTGAAGCCTGTAAGTCTTTTCTTTTCCATCCAACCAAATATTTCATCATCATCACTCGTCATTCATCATACACTTAACTAACCTAACGTCCTATCGTTCAGGTCAATCTGTTTACCATCTTCATCTGCACGTCCTCGGGGGCCGACAGATGAAGTGGCCACCCGGTTAAGAAGAAAGATTCATGTTAAACTAAATATATCACGATCAACTAGCTCCAGATTCGTCAACATTTTTCAAGAGGTTCAAAATCTATCAACTCTAGCTAGTCCTTTCTTTTATATGGTTTTCTTGTTGTGATTTCCTAGAGATACAGAGTTTCCATATTCGAATTATAATAATCGAATAATTTCCTCCATTTTTGTTAGAATTGAAATAAATAATAATTAAAAATTATATGATTTGAGGTTGTTCCTTTCTTTTATTATTTGTACTATTTTAATACTCCAAATATCACACAACTCATCAATATTCTCAAACCCTAAATCACGGGACCTGTGGCGATTTCTTTCTCTCCAAGACTCTGCCTTGTCTCTATTACTAGCCCTATCGAGAGACTGTTGTGTGGTTTCTGCGAGATGGATTTGTCATCGAAGCAAAAAAAGCGAAGCCAATCACGGGAGATTCAGATTCCAATGGATGTGGTGACAGAGGTTCTTACAAGATTGCCTGCTAAATCCCTCATGAGGTTCAAGTGCGTCTCAAAGCTTTGGGCATCTCTAATTCGCTCCCAATATTTCACCAGCCGTTTCCAAATGGTCTCATCACAACGTCTGTACATGTCGTTGTCGAACCACAGCGAAGGCCCTAACCCTAACCCTATAATCCTATCATCGGCTCCACACGCTACTACTCCGTCTTCCTTTGTAGTAAACCACAATCTGACCATCCCAAGGCGGATATGTAACTACAACCCGCAATATATTCGTGGCTTCATGTGCTCCTCATATAATTCTAGTATCCCACGAATCTACAACCCTGCCACCAGACAACTTGTGACATTACCCGACATAAGTAGTACATACTGGTCTCCAGAATGCAACGATACGTTATACTGTTTTGGACACGACCCTGTTCACGACCAGTACAAGGTAATATGCTCGAGGTTTCTAACAACTAGGAGAAAAACAGAGCAGTGGGTCTTGGTCCTAAAACGTGGAGCCTCTTGGAAAAAGGCGAGCCCTGCTTTAGTTGACTTTTGTCCTGTTTACTACAGACCAGGACTGACTATCAATGGGGTTATATATTACCTGGGTATGCCTTATTATACTGCGCATGTTACGTATAGTTACGTGGTTGTGAGCTTCGACATTGGATCTGAAGAGTTCAAAACGATCCAAGTACCTGGCAAGTGCATAGTCGAGAATGCGTTTCTTGTAGAGTATGGTCGAAAATTAGCGTTTTTGGACCTAACAAGTCTACATGCAAAGGGTACGATGGATCTATGGGTTTTGGAAGATGCTGAGAACAAGGAATGGTCGAGCAAGGCTCTGGTTTTGCAGCCTTCTCAGCTCCATTTGGTCAATAACATTGATTTTACGGTAAATGGAACAACTCAAAGTGGCAAGGTAGTATTGATACCACGTGACTTGAAAATACCAAGTGGTTTGATTTTTTCCTTTTACATTCTCTGTTATGATCTTCAAAGAAACGACATGAGAAAGATTGATATCCAAGGTATACCAGAGCACTGGTTTAGTAAGAAAACGAGGGTATCGATTGAAATGATGTTTATGGATCAGAGTGAGAGCATCGTGGATCTTGGAGACTTGTATTAAATCCTTCTCTTAATGATTTTTGTGTGTCAATATTTTGTTAAGAACGCGGTTGGCTAATTTATTGATTTCATAATTTAAAGAGTTCAAGTCGTGTTTAGAGGTGTCTCTTTGATAAATTTACTTCTGAGAAACAAACAGAAAATCTCTTATATCCATGAACTCTTCAGGGTCAAACAAACAAACTAGAACACAGCTTCGGTTACTGTCTCCTTATATTCTTCTTGTTGTTAAAAATTATCAGAGAATCTTTTCTTCTAACATAACCCCAAAGACAGTGACAGATAATACCGAACCAAACCGGGTCACTCTAGTCTTTATACTAATATCAGGATTCATGGGCCTGGGCTTGGGCCTTGGTTTGAGGGCAATGGCGGCAGAGTGCGGAGGAGCTGAAGAACGCCGGTGGGTTGTTCATCACCGTAGAAAGGGAACTCCTTCTTCACTTGCCGGCGCATGACGTCATTATCTTCTTCCCTTTGACACGTCATCATCTGTGTCTCTGCTTGCCACATCAGATGCTCCCAAGCGCTTCCTTGTCCCTACATATTAAATATCAAAAAAAAAATATATGCTAGTTTCGGCATTTACATATATGAAAACATAAATGTACACACAACACAAAGGCATTTACCGGGTAGTAAAAATGTTGGTTCTGTTCATCCATGAGTATTTCCTATTAAAAATAATAAGAACAGATGAAAAATGGTTATATATAAATTTAACTACCAATGGTAAAAATTCACCTTTCCCTTTCCCATAGGCTTAGGCTCGTTCGTTTGTTGCTGCTGATGCTGATGCTGATGCTGATGCTGATGCTGATGCTGGAGCTCCAAGTCAAACTACATAATTAGTGTAAACAAGAGAGAGACAAGGACCTTTAATCATTTATAAAACGATTAAAACAACATATTTTCTCCTTTTCCAAGAAACAAAGAAATACAGATCATGAAATATGGGGGAACATGTGCGAATGTGTGTATATGAAACAGGTTTTCACCAAAATACGCACTCATATACACGCATATACATGTATTTTAATTTACACAAGTCATTAATTTATAAATGAATTAGGTGTAACGAGTGTATTTATATAATTATATAATATATACCTTACGAGCTCGAGCCTTTTGGAGAGAACATTCGAGTTGATGCTCGAAACGAAGGAGTTCGTCGTAGTTTAAGAGGCTCAAGCCATGTCCATCGTACAGTTGAAGATTCATTTTAAGATTCTCTATCTCTTTCATCATTGATTCCTTCGTCTCCTCCCAATTTGATCCCTGACCCTGTAACCAATTTATAATCATATACATATAATCCATTAATTTAAACAGGAGAAGGTAAATATTGTAATTAATAGTAAATTATAAGGATTTAAATTACTGGGTGGAAACTGTGGTCTGCAGGGGCATGACCTTCTTTTGCCATTTGATATCTCATGATGAGATTCTCCATGCTGACGTTGAAAATTAAAATAAGAAGTTAGAAAAATTTATAGAACACGGAAAAATGCTAATTAAGATGATCAGAAATTATAAAAAATCACAAGTGCTTTCCTTAGAATTAAACCAAGAGGACATGTATATTTATCAGAAATTATAAAAATCACAAGTGCTCTTTTCTTTCTTTGATTGAATTTTAATTATAACTTCAAAGAAACCAAGAATGCAAATAAATGATGTAATACCACTTAATAATAAGGAAATAATTAAAACTTCCTAAAACTTGCGTATGAATGAACAGAACAAGAAATTTAATATCTCAGTTTCAAGACTAAATTTAATATTTTTTCTTTTACATAAATCAAAGAAAAGTAAGAAGAAACACCGTGCTGATGATGGTATAATGATTAATTACAGTAACATTCTTTTGTCCACAAAAAAAAAAAGAACACACATATGATATGTATGATTCTATGACATGGGTATGCATATATATAAATAAACCTGGTGGTGTGGGAGCAGAAATGGTAGAGCTTGGAGGTTTGGGAGAAGATGATGAGACCAATGGGGACATCACAGAGAACAGAGAGTTCATGTGCCTTCTTCATTAGACTCTTCCTTCTCTTTGAGAAAGTCACTTGTCTTTTTATCTTATCCTCTAGCTTTTTTATCACTCTTTTACCTCTCCTCATCTTCAATCGCTCTTTCTAAAACCCTAATTCCATGAGAATGCAAAACAAGCGAGAGAAAGAGAGAGATAAATGTGGATTTTTTTTTTCTTTTCGTTTCAGCAAATGAGACCTTGAGATGAGTAATTTCTCTATATGTATATATAGGGTTATGCGTGGTTTTTATTATTCTGTATACATGTTAAATTAAAGTTTGAAGGTAAATAAATGGTACTTTGACATTTTACCAAGAAAATAAAATAAATGGTACTTTGATCTAGCGGGTTGAAAAGGTTCACAAATTAGAATAGAAACTTTTAACTAGTTTTGTGGTAAGGTATATGCTTAGTTAGAGTTGGGTAAATTTAATTGTTATCCGATTAATTGTAATTGCATGGTATTTAATTTATTTCATTGTTTTGAGTATATACGTTTTATGATTTCTTGTAATATGGCTTTTAAAAAAGCAAGCTAAAACCACGTATTTTAGTAGTCTGATATGAATCACAAATAATCCGGTTACATCAATTTATTTATACAAAAAAAAAATTAAGTAAACCAAAACAAAAGCTGAAAGTATAACCAAGGACAGGTCATGTCCATTTATAAGATTTCTTTATACAAAACTGAAGCTATAACCATACAAAAAAGGTTGAAACTATAACGAAAATATAAGACTATACATATACCATAGGGTATGTTATGTGTTTGTGGGATAGCTCGTATACACCAACATTTTATCTATCTTATAACTCAAGAGGACAAGTTTTAAGTTCTATTTCCTTACGTCATAAGTTCTGTAAAACCAAAAAAAACAAGTTTTTATAACTTCAGTTTACTATTTATGCAAAGTAGTTAATATTTAATTTGTTTGAACCTTGAATTATAAAGTTGATATCGACTTTTAACTGTTGGGACCATCCAGTCCATGTGATTTCCCTGCACCTGCGATTCAGTGGGAGAAAAGCATGATTCCTTCTTAATTAGTTTCTATTTTCCTATAGATGTAAAAACTTATTTTACTATAAGATAGAGACGAGTAATCCTATACAAACCTATAATTTAAAGAGAATAAATATCATAACTTCATAAGACATCTATTGATCCTTCTTTTAGTAAGATTGTAATAAAAGACTTGATTAACGTTCCCCACTCTTTTAGTTTCTGTTATCAGAAACGTTGAAATCTTTTCTTTAATCTATGAAAACCCTGTAACCAAAAGAAGACTTAATGAACATAATTGGTTTTACCCTTCTTTTTACTTCTTTTTTTTTGTTCTAAAAGCTTGATCCAAATAATAATAAATATAGTTGTTTTGTGCGTTTATATATAAATTTATAGCATGAGAACAAAAATAAAATAAAAAGTAAACACAAACAAAAAAAATGAAAGTCTTCCTAACAAATTTAAAACAAAAATAAATGAAAGCCTTAAGCCTGTTGCGTCTCAGCATCATGCAAAAAGAATTGTGCTCTCAGAAGAAGACTTGACCAACCCACCAGATAAATATACTTTCCCATAAAATAAAGGAATAATAGAATTGGTAAAAAAAAAAAAAAACAAACAAAAAAATGGTTAAAAAAAAACATAAACGTGTTTAGAGAGAGTTTCCCGGAAGGTTCCAAGAAAGTCTTTTTCGTCAATTTTTTTTTCATCTTCTTGGTAATACAAAGTCTCATCTTCCTCTCAGATTTCGAAATTGACCCGTCGGTGTTTCTTCATCGCACCTCCGTTTTTCTCTCACCGACTTCGAATTTCCCGATCGACCAAACCCAGAAAGCGAGAAAAACCCCGTCATGGATCTACAGCCAGAAGAGCTCCAGTTCTTGACGATTCCTCAATTGCTTCAAGAATCGATCTCAATCAAGAAACGATCCCCAAGAACCTTCTACCTCATAACCCTATCCCTAATCTTCCCTCTCTCCTTCGCCATCCTCGCTCACTCGCTCTTCACTCAGCCGATTCTCGCCAAGCTCGACTCGTCCGACCCGCCGAACTCGGATCGCTCCCGTCACGACTGGACCGTGCTCCTCATCTTCCAGTTCAGCTACCTCATCTTCCTCTTCGCCTTCTCCCTCCTCTCAACGGCCGCCGTAGTCTTCACCGTCGCTTCTCTCTACACCGGAAAACCAGTCTCCTTCTCCTCCACCATCTCCGCGATCCCCAAAGTCTTCAAGCGCCTCCTCATCACTTTCCTATGGGTCGCTCTCTTGATGTTCGCTTACAACGCGGTCTTCTTCGTCTTCCTCGTGATCCTCCTCGTAGCTCTCGACTTGAACAGCGTAGGTCTCGCCGTTATCGCCGGGATCATAATCTCTGTTCTCTATTTCGGCGTTCATGTCTATTTCACTGCCTTGTGGCATCTAGGTAGTGTGATCTCTGTTCTTGAGCCTGTTTATGGAATCGCTGCTATGAGAAAAGCTTATGAGCTTCTAAAGGGGAAGGTTAAGATGGCTATGGGTTTGGTCTTTGTTTATCTTTTGATCTGTGCGTTGATCGGAGCTGCTTTTGGAACGATTGTGGTTCATGGAGGAGGAAAGTTTGGGACTTTGACTAGGACTCTTGTTGGTGGCTTGCTTGTCGGTGTTCTTGTGATGGTGAATCTTGTGGGTTTGTTGGTTCAGAGTGTGTTCTACTACGTTTGCAAGAGTTATCATCACCAGGCGATTGATAAGACGGCTTTGTATGATCATCTTGGTGGGTATCTTGGAGACTATGTGCCTCTTAAAAGCAACATTCAACTGGAGAATTTAGACTTTTGAGTATTGGAATTGGAGCAGAAGATGTGAAGCTCCAAGAGATTCTGGTACTGTTTCTTCACTATCTCTATCTCTCTCTCTATATATGTTATATTGAGTTACGTAAGATTGGAGAAGAAGAAGAAGAAGGAGTAGAAATGTTGAATCTAAAATAATAGTTGTAATGTTAAATGTGTAATGTATAGACTCACGCTCTTTGTTTTGTGTTTTGATTTGATTAATCCATGATTTGAAGGATATTGAGTTTGCCACTTCGTTTGATTCTCTTAAGGTTGCTGATCATTATCATCTTTTGCATGGCTTTGATTTAGCATGAGAAAAATGTCTGTTCTTAGATGCTTAAGTTGACTGTTAATGGAGTAATTGACTGATTAATAGCTTGAAGCTAGCTTTCATCAACAGGATTTGACCTTGGAACCTACACTTATTATTAGTTTGGGGTTGCAGGAGCAAAGTTTTGACAGCTCTGTTTTTTTTGTAACGTTTTTGAGTTTGAATTTTTTTTCGTAATTGGGAGTTTTGGTTACACTAAACCGTATGAAAAGGGAAAAACTTTAAACATGTTGGTACCATATCGTATAAACCAAAACAATTTGAACAAAAACTTATAAAAGTCCATTAATTTTGTCGGGCTTAGACTATACTAATTTGCGTAATTGTGTATAGATGAGTGAATAATGAGTTCAGTAACTCTTTGCAATGGTTTATGATTCTGTAGTCCCCGGTTACAGTCAGGAAAAGCCAACATTGTGCAAGTATTGGTACGATCGGCTTTCGTTTCGCTTCTATGGACCAATTATAAACCGAACCTTTATTGGGCTTTTACTTCCTCAAGTGCGTTCAAATCTCTAATAATTTCCGATCGTAGGCCCAAACATGAACATTTTCTTCACACTAGGATTTTCCGTTTTCTAATTGAACTATACGCAGAGAATAATAATAATGTCATTTGCAATTGAATTTAAATTGAATAATTTATACTTTGAGAATTGCAACTTGTAGCTTCATATATTTTTCAAAGTTATTGACTTATTTTATGTGTATAGAATTTTGTCTTGGAAATTAAATAATCAAGGATAAGAAATAAGATTAGATCCAAATTTTGGAAGAAGAAAAAAAGATGTGGCCTGAAAATGGTTTTACGAAACAATGGAGACGGTAGACTCTGTTAGATTCTGTATAAACGTGTGAAAATATATAATTAAAATGAATGTGGGTCAAGCCTACCACACATGGACTAGATTTATTGGTAACGTATGTCTCTATCTTTCTCTTTTGTTGACTATGGTGATTTGTATACATCATACAACCATTCGTGGAACATCGCTGGGCCATTACTATTAATTAAGTGTTTTAGTGCTTAATGAATTCAATGGTTTATGAATTGATTTACTAAACTAGAAAAGCACTCAAGGATTGAAGATCGTCGTTATAATAAGAAAAGCGACGAGATATAGACAATTTTATCGCTTTATGTAACTTTGTTGTAGTACCACATGCAATATGCTTTAGGTGAATCGTATAACGCAAACTGTGTGTATTGATAATTATGATTTGGTTTGTCGAACAATCTTTAAAAAGCTGCGTCCATTCTACAAATAAAATGCAGACCAAACAGTTACGTCGATCAAAAATAATAAATATATTAATAAATTTGCATTGATTTGTTCTGAAAAAAATGTATTTATGTTGTTTTTATCATTAAAAGGCAAAAAAGCAAAATTTATTTGTATGTAGATTTTTTAATTATTTATTTTTAGTTATGCAACAAAACTGATGAATATAAAAAATATATAATATATATATCTGCATTTTTAATTATCTACAACTACACGGAACCCAAAGTAGATTTGAATGCTATGTTCAGACCCGTCCCTGCATTAAAGCTGGTAAGGCATTGGCTTTAAGCCACATAATTTTAAAAAAAAATATTTAGGCAACATTTTCAATAATTGTTAAGCTTAGATGGTTAAGTATGAAACTTTCTCTTTTATATCTCTAGTTTGAGTGCTCTCAATGTTTAATTTTCGTTTTTTTTCTTTTCTTTTTTTTATCAGAATTTTAGTTTTTTTTGTTTAGCAATAAAATAAAATTAGAAGAAAATCTCTTGACCTTCCTTAATGTAGAAAAAAAAATCTTGCTGACTATTGTCATATCTTTGAATTCTTCTTATCATCAAATTTTATCACTAAATCTTTCAAATTTTGTCATTAACTTGTATCTATATCTGATTCAGAAAATTTAAGTTTTGATTTTGACAATCTAAATATTTCTAAACACAAGAGAGATTGAATAAATTATCAATGATATCTATTGAAAAATATATGATTGAAAAATTTGATTATTAATGGATTTGTTAAGAAAAAGTTTGAAGATCTGACTTTTTATAATTAGAAGTTTGTTCTATATTATGATTTTTTGCTATTATTTTTAATATATTTCTACATTTTTGATCATTTTATTATATTGTTATTTTAAATTTCTTATTTTTATGATAATTTTATTGTTATATGCTTTAAGCCACGTAATTGTATGGCTCGGCATTGGCTATGTTGATTCGTTTTATGTTACAGGCATGGAAAGCTTACGAGAGTTCACCACAGCTTCCGTCTTAGAAAATGAAAATGTTTGTATCCTAAACGTCTTAGATTACAACTTAAAAGTATGGACCATGCACACTTATATACAATATATTTGTATCGAGACACAGCTCACCTTCGTTTGTCTTCTACATTATAAACGAATTTCCACAGAACTTTACCATATTTATTTAATTTACTTGTTTTCTCTGTAAAATGTTGGCTTTGATAAAAGACAAAGTTAGATAAATATTTGGTCGTGTGGTCTCAGATTATTTGTCGTACTTACTTGTTTTCCGTTATGTGTTTACGCTTCAAGGTATACGCATGGCACGTGATACACGTGTGCCGTCTGAGTACCAAACACTGAAGCAGTGATTCACGTCATCGCCGTTTGAAACTTGCTATATTACGTTATTAATATGTACATATGATTAATTAGGATCAATATAATAATCTATTAAAGTTGTCTAAATTATACGTAGATGAAATCTTTGTTAGCTACACAAATGATGACCGGTTATATGGTTTATACCACTATACCAATCAACTTAAACGTACATATTTTGTTTTGTTTTGAAACAGTCAATATACGTTTATCCATATCAATAAGCTTATAACGTATGATGATTATGTACTTACATTCTTACAAACAAAGTGTATAGCAAATTACACCCCTTAACACCGTCACGGTTTCTATTTAATCAACCCAATATCCGTTTTTTTTCTAAATTATAGTAATAAAAGGAATTCGATGAACCATTTTTTTTCTAAATTATAGTAATAAAAAGAATTCGATGAACCAAGTGGTGGTGGTCTAATGATTTCTACTTGAAGCGGAGTTATCATGTTGGTCGAGGCCAATGATCGATTTTCTTCAAATATAAAATTGCTAAATTAATCTCATTTGGCCATATATATATGAGTTCATGCTTTCAATCCATTTGAATACTCGAAGAAAAGAATCTTAGGTAAAGTTTAGAAGTCACAAGATCAAGTAACCCTTAGGACAAAACTAATATTACATGCTTTAGTTTCGGGTTTAGAAGGATTACAGACTTCGACCCAGAACTTCCTAGTAATTTAAAAAAAAAAAAAAGAATACCCGAAGAAAGGATTTATCCATGAACTGCACATCATTTAGGAAATTAGTTTGAACCATTTTATTATTTCATAGATACCTGAGTTATTATGTAACTCGAGTATACTATCTCAGAAATAATCTGAGTTTTTTTTTGTTTTAAAAACCAGACTAAAAATAAATTACGTTTAAACAAAATTAAAATATTAAAATTTTACGATGAGTCGGTTTTATTAGACCATCTGCATTGGTGAGAGACTTACATGAATCTTTCATCAATTTAATAATAATAATTTTAATACAATTTAATTATATTAATTAATTTTAATTTTGAAATAAAATTTAAACCAGAAAGAGAACACATAAAGTGAGTCTTTCAAAGTTTTTCTTAAATTTATTAATTTTTTATTTTAAAAGATTTAGTGAGAAACTATCAATGGAGGTACTCTTAGTCGCACTGACCCATCAAATCAAAGTTAACCAAAAATCTCTTAACTATCTATAAACACATGCGCTGCCATGCTTATCAATTTGCTAAACGAATTAGTTTTTTTTCAGTAACTGCGAGGATCCAAAGCTGAAGTATTGAGTCAATCAAAAATGGACCATCTATGTTTTTTTTCTTTTCATTTTCAGGCATGGACCACTTTGGCTTTGGGTTACCGTATCAGCTGTCTTATTGCTATATTTAGCATACAAGCACGTGACTCGGAGTAATATGAGTCCGTACATTGTTTTTAAGTTAAACACATCGAGTACTAGTGTACTACTATCATTAGTGTAGGCCAGATATCGTTCTGATCATGGACGTTGTCCGTGATCATCCTATAATTAAATGATTTTATTGGATGATACAATTCATCGGATAACGTATGTTTTTATAAGCTAACCTTAAGGCGTATGGATCGTGATTCTTGAACATCTTTTTCTTTGGAGTCAAAGTCTATTGTTATAACAATAAATAATGGCGTATTATAATATAATATTGAATAAACATTATTAAGTATTTTAATAAATTAAATTCTGGCGCGCTAGTTACTTCTATTTTTGTTACGCAAAACGATTTAGTACGAGAACGCTTAATATAATTTTATTTAGCCTAAAATGGATATCATCCTTTGATCTGGTCAACGTGTTTATAAATCATACGCAAACTTTCACAAGGTATAAGCATGAAATTCATAATCGAACACCAAATAAATTTTACAAGACTAAATGAAGTTTTGATTATTTCCAACTAATGGCCGGTTAGTTTATTAACAAGAGGATAAACACATAATATTATTCGTAATTATTACCAGTTTAGTACGAAGACAAACCACGATGGATTGTTGTGTTCGTTGACAAAAAAAAAGAATTGTGTTTTAGAATAAATGGTGGTATATTAATGTAAATAGACTGCATCTAAGATGAATTGCATTATTTAGTGCTACAAATGAGTTGTATCATGTGATAAATACTTGTAAAAAAGACTAATGTTGCGCCAAAAAGACAGAGAGAGTGATGTGTAATACAAATCCGATATGAAGTTTAACGCTAATTACAGTATTTTGACTTCAAAAAGAAAACGCTAATTATTTAATCCCTTCGTGCTCCTCTCTGTCCTAATCATATATCTCCCCTCTCTCTCTCTCAAAAAGAAAAACTGCTGGGGTCTGGGGAAAATAAAAAGAAAACAGTTAAGTTCTTTGTTTTTCTCAATCATTAGCTGAGAAAGATTATTATTTGGTGCAAGAGAGAAATTTTTCTTAAACCCAATTGTTCTTTCCCTTCGATCGTCTCTGCTCGGGTTGGGTATTTCGCAGAAATCTTCTGGGTTTTGTGTTTGTTGTTTCTCACTGTTCCTGAATCGAACCGGACCCACCAAAGTAAATGCTCCATAACGTGGAAAAACACTTCTTCTTCAGAGAAAAAATCCAATCTCATTCGGTTTCTCCATAGATATATAAGTTTGGGTTTTTGGGGTTAAGAAAAAAAAATTAATTTTTGTTGTTTCTGTAGAAATTAGAAGAAAAAAAAGTATAAACCTTTAATCATTTGATACCTTTTTGTCAATTAGTTTTGTGTCTTTGTAAATCACATATGATTTTTCCATGTTTATTTCTCCATTTGAGATTCATGGATTCTCTGTTAGTTGTGGGAATTGATCGAATTCAAATTACAATGGGTTTAAATTGATACCCGGTGGATTCAAATTCAGGGGTTTAGTGAAGATCTGGGCGTGTGAATATAGAGATTTAGGGTTCTGGGTTTATAGCAAAAAAAAAAAAAAGAGTTTTGTGTGTTTAGTTAGAATCAAAAGATAAGATTTTTGTTTTGCCTCTTGAGGAAACAAAAATGGCGGCAAGAGTAGAAACATCAAATGGTGGTGAGATTGATGAAGAGACTGATGAAAGAGGAAGTATGTGGGATTTAGACCAGACGCTTGATCAACCTATGGATGAAGAAGCTGGTCGACTCAGGAACATGTACAGAGAAAAGGTTAAATACACAAATTCTGGATAAATCTTGGTTGCTTTTTGAATATAAATCTTGAATATTGCCAAATTCAGCTGCCTTCAAGTGTTCAAATGTTTAGTTTCTCTTACATTTGGTTGCTTACTGCAATTGTCTTTGATTGAAGTAAAAAGAAAGATAAGAGACATAAAGGAAGAAACTTTTTTGTTATTTCGCAGAAATTTTCGGCGATTCTGCTTCTGCAGCTTTCGTTTCAGAGCCTCGGTGTTGTCTATGGAGATTTAGGAACTTCTCCTTTATATGTTTTCTACAATACATTTCCTCGCGGGATCAAAGACCCTGAAGATATCATTGGAGCATTATCTCTAATCATATACTCACTCACACTCATCCCTCTCCTCAAATACGTTTTTGTTGTATGCAAAGCCAATGACAATGGTCAAGGTAACAACATCACATCTCTACACAGGTTTTTAATATATTCTCATTCCCGCGTATTGCTTTTTTGAAATGATCTCTTGTTTTTGGTGAAACTAGGTGGAACATTTGCTCTCTATTCTTTGCTGTGTAGACACGCAAAAGTGAACACGATCCCGAACCAGCACCGTACAGACGAAGAGCTTACAACTTATAGCCGCTCCACGTTTCATGAGCATTCTTTTGCTGCAAAAACCAAGAGATGGTTAGAGAAAGCCTCTAGGAGAAACTCGCTTCTTATCCTCGTTCTTGTCGGTACTTGCATGGTCATCGGCGATGGAATCCTTACCCCTGCCATTTCTGGTAATTGCATTTGCATCATCATTCACTTACCTTCCACATATGTACATTTTGGTACACTCTATAAAGAAAGTGTTTTTCGTTGTCTTTTTACTCTGTTTTCAGTTCTTTCTGCTGCTGGTGGGCTCAGGGTAAACCTTCCTCACATAAACAATGGTATCAAGTTAATAGCTACTACGTTAAAGATCTTTCTCTTGCAAATCAAACGAGTCTTGATAATGGTTTTGATGGTTCATGTTTTAGGTATAGTTGTTGTTGTTGCGGTTGTGATACTAGTGAGCTTGTTCAGTGTACAGCATTATGGAACAGACAAGGTCGGGTGGCTTTTCGCGCCCGTTGTGTTTCTCTGGTTTCTCTTTATCGCTAGCATCGGTATGTACAACGTATGGAAACACGACCCGAGCGTCTTAAGAGCGTTCTCGCCGGTTTATATATATCGGTATTTCAAAAGAGGAGGCCAAGATCGTTGGACCTCTCTTGGAGGCATTATGCTTAGTATCACAGGTCAAAAAGAAAAAGAACCTACATCGTCTTCTTCTTCATCTTCTTCTTGTTATTCATTGCTTTTCTTGTTTATGTCTTTCAGGGATTGAAGCTCTCTTTGCGGATCTCTCTCATTTCCCTGTCTCAGCTGTGCAGATTGCTTTCACTGTAATTGTATTCCCTTGCCTTCTCTTGGCGTATAGCGGACAAGCAGCTTACCTTAGAAAGTACCCACATCATGTGGAAGACGCGTTTTATCAGTCAATCCCAAGTTTGTTAAAATCTTTCATCAGTTTCATTTCTATCAAGAAACGATATCAATGGTAAATGAATTCAATTTTTTTTTTGTTTCTTTTGTTGCAGAGAGTGTATATTGGCCTATGTTCGTAATCGCAACCTTTGCTGCAATAGTAGCAAGCCAAGCAACGATATCAGCGACATTCTCATTGATCAAGCAAGCTCTCGCTCACGGATGTTTCCCTAGAGTCAAAGTCGTTCACACTTCCCGGAAGTTCCTCGGCCAGATCTACGTCCCGGACATAAACTGGATCCTCATGATCCTCTGCATAGCCGTGACCGCGGGATTTAAGAACCAGAACCAGATAGGTAACGCTTACGGCACAGCGGTTGTGATCGTCATGCTGGTTACAACGCTTCTAATGACGATGATCATGATACTCGTTTGGAGATGCCATTGGGTTCTTGTCCTCTTGTTCACCGTCTTATCACTCGTCGTCGAATGCACTTACTTCTCCGCCGTGCTCTTCAAGGTTAACCAAGGCGGTTGGGTGCCGCTTGTAATCGCTGCGGCGTTTCTTGTCATCATGTACGTATGGCACTACGGAACACTCAAGAGGTACGAGTTCGAAATGCATAGTAAAGTCTCAATGGCTTGGATCCTCGGGCTCGGTCCTAGCCTCGGGCTTGTCCGTGTCCCCGGGATAGGCCTTGTTTACACGGAGCTAGCGAGCGGAGTCCCTCACATCTTCTCTCATTTCATCACGAACCTCCCGGCGATTCACAACGTCGTGGTGTTCGTCTGCGTCAAGAACCTCCCTGTGTACACTGTTCCCGAGGAAGAACGGTTCTTGGTGAAAAGAATCGGACCCAAGAACTTCCACATGTTCCGCTGCGTGGCCAGGTACGGGTACAGAGACTTGCACAAGAAAGACGACGACTTTGAGAAACGTCTCTTCGAAAGCCTCTTCCTTTTCGTCCGCCTCGAATCGATGATGGAAGGATGCTCTGATTCCGACGATTACAGCATCTCCGGGAGCCAACAACAACACAACCTCAAAGACGGGTTCGGGAACGGGAACGGGTGCGAGAGCAAGAACTTGTCGACGTTCGACACGTTTGATTCTATGGAGTCGGTTGCAGCGCCAACCAAACGGATGAGCCACACTGTGACCGGGTCGAGCCAGATGAGCGGAGTGGACGAGCTGGAGTTTATAAACGGGTGCAGAGACGCGGGAGTGGTTCATATAATGGGGAACACGGTGGTTCGAGCCAGGAGGGAAGCGAGGTTCTACAAGAGAATAGCTATTGATTATGTGTATGCGTTTCTTAGGAAGATTTGTAGAGAGAATAGTGCCATCTTCAATGTTCCTCAAGAGAGCCTTTTGAATGTTGGCCAGATTTTCTATGTGTAATAAACTAATAATGTAGTTATCATGTAAAGTGTTTTTAGACATGATTGTTTTTTTTATATATGTTGCTAGAAGCTGTTTAAAATATACTATATTTGGCTACTTACCATTTAAAGATAAGCCGTGGAGATTAAATACTAGTCTCCTAGATTTTGGAATTATGTAACTAAGTTGAATTAGCTCAGTCCTATTTGGTTGCAAACGTATTTTCTTATAGTGTACAAAGAACTTACGTAATACACTGCTGTACAAAGATTATGATAGGTCTTGATATTTTCATCCGATTTAATTAATTAGTTTAATCTATCAACTTATTTCTAATTTTTTTGTCGCATATGACAATCATCTCTAAGTTTGAAATCACAGATACACAAATATATGTTGGCGTGACAAAATAACACTCACTTTACTTGCCAATGAAATCAAGAATGTAATTAAGCTAGAATTATATTTGTACGCATCAATTTCTTAGCAGAAGCAATAACAATGATCAATTTAATATATATATATATCTGCGAAAATATGATCGCAGGTAAGAGAATGGTGTTGGCCGGATCAGGTCACGTTAGGGTCAGCGATCGAGAGTCGCAACCGCAGAAACAGCGGACGCTACACCAACCGAGAGACTGTCAAGAACCTTAGAAGTTGTAAATAGGTTTCTTGTTTATTAAGTTTGTACGGTGTAAACTTTATATAGTTACATAATATAACCTAATTACGTTGTACAAGACAGTTAAATATATATATTCCAATACGGCCCAATATCTCAAGAGTGTGTAAATTGCAAACACCCAATTTGATTAAGAAATCTTCAAATTCTTTGTGCCTCAAAACTTAGGTTAGAATGTCCGCAAGTTGTGTTTTCATGTTGACATACTTTGTTGTAATAATACCCTGAAGAATCTCATTTTGGATGAAATGGCAATCCAAACCCACGTGTTTGGTTCGAGCGTGATACACCGGATTGCCGGCAAGATTAATAGCCGAGAGACTATCTGAGTGGAGAGGGATAAGATAATCACATGAGATACCAAAAGCAGGAAGAAGTTGTCTAAGCCATAGAAGCTCTTGAACCATATCTGCCATTGCCCGATATTCTGCTTCAGCCGATGAACGTGATACCACATCTTGTTCCCTTGTTTTCCAAGATAAAAGAGAGCTTCCAAGTTGAATGAACCACCCGGTGAGTGAGCGACGAGTGATGGGACAGGATGCCCAGTCATAGTCACATCAAGCAGAAAGAACCAAGTTCGTGTTAGATCGAAACAAAATGCCTTGACTAAGACTAGAATTCAAATAACGAACAACCCGCAAAGCTGCTTCCCAGTGTGCCTCCTTGGGACTATTCATAAATCGAGAGAGTGTATGAATAGCATACGAAAGCTTAGGATGTGTATTGCCAATGTAAATCAGTCTTCCCACGAGACAACGATAACGAGCTGGCTCAGACATAGGTTCACTAGTAGCAAGAGCAAGCTTATGATTTTGCTCAAGAGGAAAAGCAACATGCTTAACACCCACTAAGCCTGTTTCGGTGGCGATGTCTAGAGCGTATTTGCGTTGACATAAGTACATCCCAGCTGGACTTCGAGCAACTTCTAGTCCCAAGAAGTAATGCAATACCCCGAGGTCTTTCATATGAAAGCAAGAGCTCAAGTAGAGCTTAAAATCATTAATCACAGCTACTGAATTTCCTGTGATGACCAAATCATCGACGTAGACTAAAACATGAAGCTTATTATCATGTGTATCAAGGGTGAACAGCGAGTGGTCGCACTCATGATGTTGAAAACCATAGTTCATAAGAGCAAAACCGAGTTTTGCAAACCAACAACGGGGAGCCTGCTTCAATCCATACAAAGATTTATGTAAATGACAAACCTTAGTTTTATCATTAGTGCGAAAACATAGAGAGAACTGCATGTATACTTTTTCATCAAGATCACCGTGTAAGAATGCGTTATGTACATCAATCTGATGTACTTCCCAGTCAAGAGAGACCACTTGTTGGTGAAAAATCCGTATGGTGACCATCTTTACTACAGGAGCAAAGGTTTCCGTATAATCAACACCTTATGTCAGAGTATTACCAAAAACCACGAGTTGTGCTTTGTAACGTTCGAGGGTACCATCAGATTTAAGTTTAATACGGAAGACCCATATGCAACCGAGTGTTCTGTTTCCCGGTGGCAGCATTTCAGCAGTCCAAGTACCACGATCTTTGAGAGACACAATTTCATCAGTGATAGCCTTACGCCAGCATTCATCAAGGATTGCATCTTTATTGTGGGTCGGCTCAATAGCAGAGGTGAGAGCTATGACATATGCTTGATAATGTGTGGAAAATTGTAATCTATAGAGATAGTTATCCAAAGGATATGGATTTTCTGTCGGAGGTGGAGCGTAGAGTAGTTTAGTAACATACTGAGCGAGCTTGACCGAAGGCAGTTTCTTACGAAACCCACGACCCAAATTAGCATTCTCATAAGGGATCAACGCATCAGCAAGATCGCCAGGAGCATGATCATTTGTTGAGGCTGACTCTATATCATCCGAGGAAGACTCTGTTTCATCTACGACATACTCTGTATCAACTGCTGCATTCTCTATATCAGACAAAGTTTCTGCATTCTCTGTATCAGACGAAGTTTCTATTGCAGGTGTAGCAGGAGAAGATTCTGCAGAGATATCTGGGGTCAAGCAAGAAGGAGTAACAGAGTCATGTACTTCATCATCAGGAGCATGTGCTTTAGTTATCAAAGGAAAAGGCAACGATTGAGAAGGTTGAATATCTGGCAAATTGAAGTGATAAAATGCAGCTTCCGTAAAAACAACATCGCGCGAAACAGAGACATTGTCTGTTTCGATATTGTAAACGCGCCATCCTTTCTTTGCAAAAAGGTAACCGATGAAAATTGATTTGTTGCTTCTGCTCTCAAATTTATCACCTCCATGTTTCTGACTATGAACATAGCAAACACAGCCAAAAACTCGTATATGATTCATTGGCGAAGGGCGGTTGTAGATTAGCTCAAACGGAGTTTTGCCATTATGTAATGCAGTCCAAATATGGTTTATAAGATATTTTGCAGTGAGTGCGCAGTAACCCCAAAACTCGATTGGAATTTTGCTTGAAATCGAAGAGCACGAACAACGTTATGTATATGACGATGCTTGCGTTCTACACGTCCATTTTGTTGAGGCGTTCCTACGCACGACGTCTCATGGATGATACCTTGTTGAGCAAAATATGTAGATAAGCAGATAAATTTGGAGCCCTTATCGCTGCATATTACCTTTACTTTGCTTGTAAATTGACGCTCAACAAGTTTTGAAAAATATTTAAGATGTTGTGAAGCCTCTTGCTTTGAAGAAAGAAGATATATCCACACAGCTCTTGAGTAGTCATCAACTAGTGTTAGGAAGTAGCGAGAGCCACAAATAGCAGAGGTTCTATACAGTCCTCAAAGATCACAATGTACCATTTCGAAAGCAACACTCGTCTTATTGATACTTATAGGAAAATAATTTCTTGTTTGTTTGGTGCGGAGACAAATTGCGCACGCTTTAGAATCAAAGATACTAGTACTAAAATTAGAAAAATGCAACATCTTTAAAGCCTTAGAAGAGGGATGTCCTAAACGTCGATGCCAAACATCAATAGAGGTTGTATTTGATCGCTGGACCGATGCTGCTGGGGCCATCCTTAAAAAAAAATAGAGTCCATTCTGCTGTCTACCCGCTCCAATCAGGATCGCTGTGATGCGATTCTGAATGATACAAAGCTTGTCAGTAATCTGGAAGACACAATGACGATCTCTAGTCAACTAAGAAACTGATATCAAATGACATCTAAGTTCATCAACAAAGAACACTTCCTAAGGGCTCAAAGTAGAACCCAAATTAACTCGGTCGTGTTTATTTACAGTAGTAAACCGTCCATCAGGAAGCTTAATTAAAACTGGTGCCATTTCAAAAATATCACTAAAGTATTCAAGACTGCCGGTCATATGGTTTGTAGAGCCTGTATCAATAATCCAAGATTCAAAAAATACTTACCGGAAATGCGCTCATTGGAGGGAGGTGTACGTTCCTCAAGAATATGAACTAACGTTTTCTATTGACTGTTACTCAAGCCGCTAATGCCCATGCGATCTGCAGATGTAAGTGGAGAAGATTGAACCATGGCATGAGACGCAAAGGTAGGAGTGGAGACATGATTGACTTGAGAAGAACTGCAACCCCCAGTAGTTGATCCACGTCCGCGCGAGGCTAAGTTCGAATCACGCCCTTGAGAGGAGTTTGATCGGTTCCTGGTTTTCTCATCAAACCATTCTGGATATCCAATTAACTTAAAGCAATTTTCATCTAAGTGGCCATTACGACCATAATGTGTGCACACTCTTGTATCAGTAGAAGCTTTAAAATCAGTGACAGTTTGAGATCTCTGTGTGGTTTGGACCGCAAAGCTGACACCATCGTTTCGTTCTTCTGTAATGCTATCTAATGACTTAGATTCTTTATCTTGGGTAAGAGTATTGTAAGCATCTTCAAGCGACAACAGAGGTACTCGAGACAGAAACGCTGATTTGACTACTCCATACACTGATTCATCTAGACCCATGAGGAATTGATGAAGTTTATCTTCTTCTCGTTCTTTTCGCACCTCTTCCATCGTTTTTGCTCTTTGATAATCAGCTAAGCTTTTCCATAGCTGAGAAAGTTTTCCAAAGTAGGTTTCAATAGCCAAGCCTTTTTGTTGACAAGTTGTTAGTTCTTATTTTAAGCGTTGAACACGCTGACCATTCTTGACATCGAAACTCTTTTGAATGTGTGTCCAAAGTTCATGAGCTTCATCGATATGGGACACTAAAGTACAGAGATTCTCATCGATGGTTAACTTCATCCAAAAGACAACGAGGGCATTATTAGCAGTCCAATCTTCAAAGCCAGGAGAATTCTCCGGTAGTTCAGATATGGATCCATCAGCAAATCCAAACTTTTTACGCGCCTTAAGTGCCAAGCAAAGATTGGTGGCCCATTCATCGTAGTTAGGTCCACGCAGCAACGGTTTGGAGATAAGAGTGCCTGGATTATCACCAGATGACAAATCATAGGGAGAGATGGTTCGTCAAGATTGTGATGTTAAGGATACAAGAGCTGATTCGGTACTCATTATTTAAGAGAAATCGTTGAAGTAGGTTCAACGAAATAAGGTCAATATATGAGATTAAAGAAGTAAGAACATATCTCTTTAGCGGAAAAAGAAGATCTTAGAATCGAGAGCAAAATATTGAAGTACTTAGGTTATAACTCTGATACAATGTCAAGAACCTTAGAAGTTGTATAAAGGTTTCTTGTTTATTAAGTTTATACGGTGTAAACCTTATATACATTTTACATAATATGACCTAATTACGTTGAACAAGATGGTTAAATATAGGGATAAAGAGGTAGATGGCAAAGTTTCAGACTTTTATTAGGGAATCAACAAGACACTTATGTGCTGGAAGGAAATGGCAAAAGGATGCCAAAAAGGTAAAATTTGCTATATCTATTTACGGCAAGTGCCACAATGTGCGCGTGGGATTGCGAGTTGATGAAGAGACAATATCTTTATTATTTGTTAACATAGACATGTGGAGCATGTAACTATTGTTATAAGTATAGCTAGTAAATGACTACTTACAGATCTATACCTGAGTGAATGCATGAGTTTAGCCTAAATCTGGAAAATAATTACTGATTTTGACTTTGATCGTAATGGTGCAAGTATTGCTGTTGACCACGTTGGTGGATGCTCCCCTCGTGATACTAAATTCCAGAGGGCTGAGGTGACTGTTGATGGGATCCCCCCATTCTCGTTCGCTAGGGATGCAAGTTCCAGTACTTGATGACTCAAAGAAAGAAGGTACATATTGTAGATATAACAAACATATGCGTATATTATTTTATAGCGTGTTATTTGATATGATAGGAGTGTATACATGAGTACAGTGAGTAAAATGTAAATCTATAAAGTGTTATAGTTGTCTATTGACATTGATGGAGAGTTATTAACATATTTAGAGGGTTATTTGGTATGATGGGTGGTTATTGTACGAGACAGATCACGTAAGTTATATTATAGCATGTTATTTGAGCTGATAGCTGTCTATGTTCATAAATGAGTGTATTATATGTAAATCTACAAGATATTATAGTTGCTCACTAACATTGATGGATGGTTAAGGATATCTACTTTGGAGTATTGTTTGATATGATGGGTGGAAATATGAATGCATGGTAAAACCAGAGTATATTAAAGTGTAAAATATGTTTAGAATGTCTAAAGTAGTTGATGGACTGTTTTTCACAGGATTGGACCAAACTGAGAATGTAATATTGGATGTGGCATATGAGGGAATGAGTACCAATGAAGTCAAGTTTGAAATACGAGCTAACCTTGTTACCTACTCGCTCGTGATAATCAGCAAATAGACATTGCGGGAGATCATTAGTAGCTACAGATGTACAACAATGGTTATTAAAATGAGATCAGATAAACATCCAAGTTCATGTCATGTGTTGGTGAAGGTCTAACTACGGTGATGGATGACTATTTATCTGAGATGATGTATATATATGAATATGAACTCATGTAAATCCGTTCGCAGCACATTTTTTGCTGATTGGGTTTGCTCTAATTCTCTTCCACTTTGTTTAAAAAATTTAGCTGGAGATTACAAGATTCATCGTAAATTTTAGGTAAAACAATTCTAATATAGAATAGAGAGAGTTTGTTTGTTGGTTTTGTTGGCAAAAAACATGGAAAAAGAGAAAGAGAGAGACGTGGTGGAGAAGAGAGGATGCATTTAAAAATGATTTTAGTGAAAAAAAAGAAAAAAAATAATATCAGATATTTTAAATGGACGCATGAGGATATTTTTGACTAAGTTGGTAGTTAAATATTTTGATGCTTAAACATCCAAATGTCTTTTGTCAATTCCTCAATTGACTACCATTTGCTATCTACCCAATAATCTCTTAAATATATATAGCCCAATACGGCCCAATAGAGACATTAAAATATTTGTTATTTTCTTCACTTTTACAGCCTTTCTTGGTCTAGTACTTGTCTACCATTCGGCATCTCGTGTCACGATGCTATCGCTGCTGCAACTTACAAACATTTCTGCGGTTGGGCCACCTCTGATCGCTCAACACCGACACCGTTAGTAATCATGCACGTATACGAGTCTAAATATAATCTTTGTTTGGGTTAGCGTTTAGTATGTAATGTTTGGTGAATTGATAGTTTGAACTAGAGGATGAGAGAAATTTGGCGAGAATCTTGAGGCAAGCATCAATGGAGGAGAACAAGACGGTGATAGTTGCGATGATGAATCAGGCTTAGAGAGAGCCAAATTCGACATTCGATGTATTTCTCGAAGGTTTCCATGCCGGAGAAGGGACGGAGAAGCTGCTCCGTCACGTGGTGGTGGTTTGTTTAGACGATGAGGCTTACTCAAAGTGCACTAAGGTTCATCCTCACCGTTGCTTCTTGCTAAGGACACCCGGAGTTGATTTCTCTGGCGAGAAACTGTTCATGGTGCCGGATTATCTCAAGATGATGTGGCGTTGAACCGAGTTCTTAGGTTCTTTGCTTAAGCTCGGATATAACTTCCTCTTCACGGTATTTCCTTAGAGCATCTACAATGGACAGTTTTTCAAAGATTCTTAAGTTAAAAAGAAAAGAAAATTAAAAAAAAAAACAATATAATGTGCATATGAATATTTGAGAATCGATTCTACTCAGAGAAGCGATAGAATCGATTCTAAAACACTGTTTACCCATCGATATCTCCATCACTGATGGCTCCTTCTCCCTTTCTCTTCGTCTTCCTCCATTCGTTACTCTATCGGATAAATTTCCTGGGTTTTCCTGTAACAAATTGCTGCTATGGAGGCGATTCATTCAAGCTTCTTTATATAATCGACGGATTTGGGATCAAAGATGGAGAAGTCAAATCATAGTATCGAGAGCTAGAGTCTCTCCTTACGAGATTCTTAGTGTGTCTCCGTCGGTGACTCCTCAAGATATAAAGAAGGCTTACCGTAAACTTGCTCTGAAATATCACCCAGATGTTAATAAAGAAGTAATTATCATGGTTTTTATCGAATTCATCTGGGTTATGCTTTGTGAAATCAACTGAATTTGAAACTATGTTTGTTATTGGAGCTATATCTGTTTACATATTTACATAGAGATACAAAGAAAGAGTCATGTAATTGTGACTTTGTATGGCACTTTCAAGTCTATGTATGTGTGTAGCTCTAAAGCTACTAGTAGCTGTTTTTGGTGTCACACATGCAAATGCACAGGAGAAGTTTCTGAGGATAAAACATGCATACACCACTTTGTATTGTAATCTCTTTCTCTCTCTCTTTTGGAACAAATAGTTTAATTAGGTACTGTGATTTGGATTAGATACATAAACTATAGGAGATGATCTTTTATTGTAAAGTATTGATATTTAAAGTATTCCAATATCAGGTCAGCTTCAAACATGTTTTGAATAAAATACTAAGATCAGTGAATCAGAACAGTTATATGTCTTGTTTTGTTATTGACATGAACAAAAAGAAGTGGTAATAGAAGTTTGAGCTTTGATCAGTTTCTGGACATTTGTGTAGCTTTTAGCTGTCAAATAAGTGGAGCTTACTTAATATTGTAATGTATATTATAGAAATAAATGTGTTGTGTATGTGTTGATTGTAGTATCGTGGATTTGTAGGAAAGAAGATTAGATGAGAATGGAGACTTGCAATGTTCGTATCATGGATGGTCCTTTTCAGGGTGTGGATCTTGCACTACGATTCCACATGCTTCTATTTCAGGCCCTGAAGCTGGGGCGGTTAAGTCCCCGAGAGCTTGCGCTATTAAGTTCCCAACAATGGTGTCTCAAGGTCTTCTCTTTGTGTGGCCTGATGAAAATGGATGGGACAGAGCCAATTCAATGGAAAATGTATCTAATCCTTCTCATATTGATTTTGCTTTCAAACTCTCACAATGTGTTTGCATTTCCGGTTAAGGAACATCATCCTCAGGCGATGTTTTGGTGTTGTAAACAGGTTACAGGAAGAAGAGACAGAGCGAAACCATTGCCGTTTAAGGTAGAGTCAAGCAATCCTTGGGGTTTCCAAGGCGTGAATGACGATAACCCGAAGATCATCGCTAAATTCGTTGCATGTTCTCTTAACAAATGAGTCTCTTGAGTCCTGCGTCTGGTTATTCATACTCTTTGTATCAAGCCAAAAAAGCAACATTTTAAAATAATCTATCCATATTTTAAAACCTCCTCAAATTTCTCCAATGTAGCTCTCCAAAATAAGATAAAATTAATGAAACTCTTAATTTAAACTAATAATATATTTAATATTAAAATATACTTAAAAACCTAAATATGAAGTTGTGCATTGTGGATGCTCTTAACTCATTTGCATTCATAAGAAGTTTTTTTTGGTTTGTTTATTACAAAATGTTGACAAAAGCAAAAACAAATCTTAACTAGGTTCGATTGTTTCAAGCGCAATTGCCAAATTATTTTTGGTTAGACTGAAAAAGAATATATATCATGTTTCTAAAATCATTTGAAATTTTGTACTAAAATTTACTTATTATTTGCAATTAAAAAAAAATCTTGCAAAAACTTAACACCAATACGGGAGATGACGGTTTCTCAGCTTTATTCGGTGGATCTGGGTTTTCGAGGATGGGATTCAGTCACTAACCAGATTATTTGGACCTTTTTCTCTGCTCTGGCGTGCCCGGTGGTCGTCACCGTTCTCTTTCAGAATCCGCCGATGGTGTTTAGGGGAAGGTGAGCTTCGCTTTTGGTTATGGTTCGTGGTGGGTTCCTTTTCCCTGCTTTGCTCTCTTTGTGGCTCTTCTTCTCGGATTTGGGTTTGTGTCTTCCATTGCTTGTTTAGTGTAGAGGTTTCGATCTTTTTAGGCTGTCTTGGCAGCTTCGACATTTGCTGCAAATTTTGGTTTCTTTGCTTTCGGAAGAGTTAGTAGGGCTGAGGTGTCTGTGATTTGCATAACTCTGTGCTAGCCGACATCGGGGAAAGATCTTGGTAGAGTGAGTGTGCATTTCTGTATCTTTAGTCAGTTAGTTCCGTCTTTTAGTTGATTGTTAGGTTTAGTTGGCTGAGCGACGAAGCTTAGACATTGAGGACAGTCTTCGTTCGGGCCTATGTTTTTCTCCCTAGCTAAAGGTTTCTGTTCGGGCTTCCAGTGAAACAACTTCCGTCTTGCTTCGTATCGGTCTTCAGCAGCCTTCAAGATGTCTACCTTGTTCAGCTTTCTTTGATCTCGGTTTCCTCTGGGACTTTCAAGTTCACTATCGCTTCTTTGTCACCACGGCAATGAAATCTACAAAAGACTGGTTGCTTTTGTTCTAGATCAATCAAATTGTTAGCACATTTTGTAACACCTAAACTTATCATTTTCAATAAATATTTACCATTAAGCAAAAAAAAAAAACTTAACACAAATATAATATAAACATAGTCATTGATTAATCATCACCCTCAAGAGTTCACAGATCCACTTGACGAGGTCATTGATTTCTCTGACTATGTTCCTGTTCCTGTTCTGAATCCACAAGCAGAGAGTAGCAGAGTAAGAGTGGTCTCATCTGGAGAACTCCATCAGAAAAGCGATTGGCAAAAATTGGGCAGACCAGCTGATTTCTGTTGACAATGGTTCAGAACCAAATTGGTATGAGCTTCTAAGAGATCTAACTTCCCATAATCCAAATTTAGAGGTTAAGTTTCTCAAGCCATATATGATCTCGATCTATGTTTTTCTTTTATATCTTATTTATTCAGTGATTGCTTGATTTGTAACAGATACCGACACCATTTTCGGATTAAAGTTACAATATTATCTTTATATATGAAAATTTAAATGCACTTAATTAATTGATTACCAAGAAAAAAACCCTAGAAAATGCACATCCTTATCAACATCTTCATCAACATCATCATTATCAACATCAATATCATCATCAACATTACCAATTTTATTGATTGGTTAATTTATTAACAAGTAAAAAACTTAAGAAGACGAATATCATCAACATTATCAATATCAACATCATCATCATTAACATCAGTATCAACATCATCATTATCAATATCATTATAAATATCATCAACATCAACATCAACATCATCATCAAGAATATCAATTTTATTGATTGATTAATTGATTTGATGACTATTATCAACATCGACATCATCATCATCATTATCAATATCATCATCATCATCATCATCATCATCATCATCATCATCATCATCATCATCATCATCAACAACAATATCAACATTATCATTATTATCATCATCATCATCATTATTACAATTATTAGAATTGTTGAAAAATATAAAAATGTATTTGCTACATAATAAAATCAAATAGTAAATGTGATCATAAGTAGTAGAATAAGTTACTTACTATTTTTGTGTGTTTCTTTTACGTTGTTCAGTTTGTTATTTTGCAGCCTTTACACAATTTTTTTTTCATATGTTGTGATTCTTTCATATTAAGATTTGCTTGATGTTGAGCTCTTACATTCTTTCTTAATTAATTTAACTGTTTCAATTTTCTTTTCAGCTTTCTAGAATTATTTTTATCTATCTCGTCATCTGGATATCGATCTTTTTAAAATCTAATAATATTATCTTAAAAATAGTTTTAAATTTATATTTCATTAAAAATTAAAGTAAAATTTATATCCGATTATATCTTACAATATTATAAAAAATGATAAATTATCTTATCAGTAACCATATCATTTTTATTGGTTTCAATGACTAATCAACACAACAATAACACTCAAGTCTCTCCATGGCTTGACACCTCAGCTTTTTAAGTTTTATAAACATGACACCTCAGCAAAAATAATCACCAATCAAAACATTTTATTAATACATCTCATCTATTATTTTAATTTTTAAACTTAAACCCATTAAAAACCCAAATATTTTTTCTATTAATTTTTGTTTTATTTTTTACCAAACCCAAGCCCAAATAATTAATAACAGCAAATAAAAAATCATTATTTTATTTTTTATCAAATTCAAACCCAAATAATAAATAAAAACAAATTAAAAAAATTAAATCATTGTTTTCTTTTTTTTGCCAAAGCCAAATTCAAATAATAAATAACAGCAAATAAATAATAAAATAAAATTCTAGCTATCTGTTTGTTTGACATAAACATATATGATTGAAAAAATGTAGTCTCAACATCAACCATACTTCCATGACAACACTGCAAAAAGCCTTATGTTATAAGAAGCTCACACATCAAAAAAAATTTGAACCAATAAAAACATAACAATTTCTTAGTTTTCGCAGGAAAACATAATTTCACGGGAGATAATGCAAATTTTGGTTTTCGCAAGAAATTGTAGTTTATTTATTTTTGTAGGAAAGCGTGATTCTGGGCTTGACGAGAAAATAATTATTTTTTGACAGGAATAAACGATTTCTCAGTTTATCGCAGGAAATTTTTTTTTTTCGATTTTGGCGGGAAAATACAATTTTTTTTTTAGTTTTTGCAAGAAGATGAAATTTTTTGATTTTTGTGAAAACCGTAATTTCTCGGCTTTGGTGGAAAAACACAGGTTCTCGAGAGAAAATGAAATTTTAGATTTTAGGTTTGACGAGAAAATGAATTTTTTAGTTTTGGCGGGAATAGCCGATTTCTCAGTTTAATGGGAAAATGAAGTTTTTTTGTTTTGACGGAAAATACGATTTCTCGATTTTTGTAAGAAGATGAAATTTCTCTGTGCTAAATTTCCAAGTCAATATATGTTTACAGTAACCAAAATTTAATTATATAACTTTAACTAAAAATGATATTTTAAAAGTTCAAACATAATTTTCTATTTAGTTCTAAAACAATAACAATGGTTTTGATATGAATGTTATTGATTATAGTTTGGTAGTTTTAGAAACATATGTTTATAATAAAATATTTGATAAATAAATAAATTTTATAATTCAAAATAATTATATAAATTAATAAATCTTTTTTTAAATGGCATTTTGCTTTATATAATTACAAAGGAGGATCATGTGGCAATTTATTAGAGAAAATATGTTACATTTGTCATTAGCATGAAGGTACTAAAAATGTATTGTTTTATTTTTATATATTTTATTCCTATATACACATTTATAATTAGTTAGCTAACTAAATTTAATAGCAAAATATAATTTTGAAAAAAAAAATATATATATATGTAATGATTATTCAGATTTAAAACATATAAATACATAACTTAAGCTAATAAAAAATAAATATAATATTCATTTATATTATAAAAATAATTTTATTATATTAAACATATATACAAAATTTAGAAAATATCCCGCCGCATAGCGCGAGTAAATACCTAGTATTAGTAAAAGTTGATCTATAGTTTCATGAAGTTAATTTTATAGTGAAAATAATTTTTTGGCTAACAAGAAATAAATAATATCATTTTAATTTATTTAGGAAAATAAAACATACAATGTTCTGAACTAAATTATACAGTATAAGTTATATTATTAACAAACACCTTTATTCGACATCTACAATTATACTGTAATAGTTATTATTTATTTAGCTAATTTATATCTCTATTACATTTTCATTGGAACAAGTATTGCACAAAAATATATATCCATTCTTATTATGTTTTTGTGTTTAATTGCATTTACTGCTTGATATGTAGTCCCAACCACTTTAATTATTTTCAACGATATGAAATTATTTTTTTCCTCTAAAAAAGCAGGGATATTGCTTTTTATTTATAATATTTATTTTCATAATTTTCAATTAGATTTTACAAACATTACATCTACGATTTCTTGTGAGAGAATGTCAAAAAAGTTCAAATATTGTATTAAACTAATTGATAAGCTACGTTTCATGCGGAATTTTATACATTGTTTTATATAGTTAGACAAAATTTTATATCTAATAATCATATTTACAAACAAAATTTAGAAAATCACATATCTAATCTCTGTCTCACTTATTAACTTTGAATTAAAATAAATTAGATATTGTATTCATGTTTTCACATTTTTTTTATTTAGGAAAACTTTATATAAATCCAATTAATTTTAAATTTAATTGTTTTTGTATTTATCCAATAATTCCAATGAAATTATACTATTTTTAATAATATGAAGTTTATCTTTAAATTATTTATATTATTATTAATATTTTGATGTATTTATTTTAGAATAAATGTTTGATCAACTATATAAATAGATGTGACAAAGCTAAAATTATTAGAGTTTCTCGAGATAAATATATATAAACCGTTTTATAAAAAATAAATTTTCAAATTCTATGTTTATTATTTTAATTAGTGTTAATTATTTTGAGTATTAAAGTGTAAAATAACAATAATTACCATAAATTAAGGAGAATTTAAACATAATGAATTAATGATATATCATAATTCTAAGAGATACGTTGATGATGTTGTTTTTTTCGAAGAGACTTTGTTCCACTTTATATAGATAGATGTCTGATGATTCCTAGTATTAACTTGATTTTCACTAATTGTTTTGTGACAAATTGCCGGAAAAGTATTAGCAATATAGAAATATACTATATTACTATTAAAGAGTAATTTAATATATGAATTTTTTAAAAAAATTTTCTTGAAAATTTTAATGGCATCTATTTGGGTCTTTGACAAAAAAAAGTTGAAACTGAAGTTATATTGAGATATAGATAATCTTCGAAAATATAACTTTTTTTTAATCAGATTAATATATACCTATCAAAGCTCATTTTTTGCTTAATACTTTTTCACTAATAGTCACTTTTAATAATATTACAAATCATTTAGAGGATTGTATATAATATTATATTGTATATAACTTTTTTAACACTATAAAAAATAATGTAGAGGATTGCGTATTTTAAATAACTTTTTGTTTTTCTTATTTTTCTTAGTTTTAACAATCTTAGAAATTATTTGAAAAGCTGTATATTTGTATCATAATTCATTTGTATATTTTTATTTATACTTTATTGTTAATAATCCAAGTTTTTATTCTTTTTCTTTTAATAATTATAATTTTTATAATATTTTATATTTTATGATCACTTTTGATATAATAATTTATTATTAATAATTAAGATATCGTATGCATTTTTTGTTATAATAATTTAAAATATTTTTTTTTTAACTTTTGATATATGATAATTAATTAACTCGCGAAGCGGAGATGTTATTCCTAGTTATATTAAAATTTATATAAATTAATCTTCGATAAATTAATATTTTGTTAAAATCGATAAAAAAATTAAGTCTCATAATTAGTTTATTTAAATAATATATTTATAAATTAATCATTTTTTAAAATTAATAAAATTTTATAAAATTACATAATTTTAACATTATTAATTTATAGAAATTTTACTGTAATATATATGGAGAACATAAATTATATGCATGTCTATAAGACATATATATGTATAGTAGATTTTTCTTTTTCTATATATCTATTAAAATAAACTTATTTTCATGAACTGAAAAACCATAAATTTGTAGTTGTTGAAAAAAAAAAAAAGTTTATAATTTCAGGAGAAAAAGAACGTGTTGGTACTTGGTATGCTTGATTGGATAAGATAGATATGGTATTGATATTTTGGGTAAGTCGAAATACGATGGATATTACGTGAGCAAAACAAGCCGGCACATATTTTAGTAATCAATAACAATCCAACAAAAAAAAAGTTATATTATTTATGATGGATGATTTTCTACACAAAAATATGTATTATTTAGTATTTCGTTTTGATTATAGATAGAAATGATAGATATAATTCCTTTTTATTTAGATGGTATGCTTACAGTTTGGGTTATTATTTTAAAACTTGATTAAATAAGCAAGACAATGATAATTTCTTAGCGTTGCTTTTATATTTCCTTCATCTTTCTACGCTTATTCTGCTGCTTCAGCAAAGCCGATTTTTGGGTTATCTGGGTCAAGCTTTTATGCAAGCCTACCACACGATAATCGAAGACCGTATGGTACGCTTGCATGAAAGCCTGACCCAGATACCTACATTTAAATCCAATGAAGCATACTTGTGTAGCTCCTGTACCATGTTTGGATATGTACTGAAAGAAAGAAAAAGAAATGTCAAGAAAAGGGCGTAAAAATAAACAACTCAAACTATAGAGAAGATCGTACATCTCTTGGAGTGAGGGGAAAACGATTTTTCTTTTCATATGGGTCTGTGAAGTAGATAATGGGCACCATATCAACCGTAGAGCATTCAACTTTTCTTGTTTCGATTGTTGCTCCAATTGCTTCATTGATTTCATCGACCTCTTTCTAAACATTATAATTACAAAAAAACATACTTTAACAAAAAAAATTATGATATATATACAACTGAACTGTATATATATACTCACAAAAACTTGATTCTCTTACGTGTGTGGGCCATGAATGTCGGTCATCCCAGAGTCAATTATTGCGGTGCATTGCTCAGGTTCATATTTGATTCCCTCTTCGACGTGGCCTAAGAACTTGGCCCATCCAGACCTTACAATTGAGACTTGTAAGCCAGTACAGTCTTTGTGGATGTGGAAAAACTCTTGATGGAAAATACTGAAAACAAGTAGATAAGAAATGGGAAACAATATGTATTGATAGGAAGCAGTAAACACTCTTGATAACCTAAAATACTTAAAAAGTGGATGAACCGTCTTCTGTCGTTCCAAATTTAACAAAGAAAGAAGTTAGGAGCAAAAGTAGCTATCACTCTTTTGACATGACCTCAATGAAGATGTCATTCTTTTTTTGGGGGTCGAAAGTAGATGTCATTTTAAAAAGTAGATGTGTCCTTCTTTTAACGTGAGATCTCAAAATTCAATTGACATGACCTTCTCATCCTAACAATCTTTTTTTTTTATATAAAGTTTATATCAACTTATCGTTTGATAAATTTGTGAATGACTACATCATTCACATTGGTTAGAACTTTTGGGTTCTCAACAATTAAAATAATAATATTTTTTAATAGAATTTAGCTATGTAATTAATTTTAATTGAAAGAAATGAATAAAATCAATAAAAATAAAATATGTATAAAAAAGATGAGAGAGAGAGAAATGAGTTTCTTATACTCTCTTCAAATACTCTCTTCTACTAGCTTTTTTTGATTGGTTAAATTTTCTTTTTAACTTATTAATTAATTAGAAAATGAAGTTATATAAAAACTATTAATATTATATTGGTTGAGATACTTAAATGAGTATCGAACCATTGGAGCAGCTCTTAGATTGAAAGCAGGGCCGATCTAAATTTATTGGGCACGTAAGAGCATTTACAACGCAAAGAATCTTAGTATGGTATCTGTTAGAGATGAGATTCGTACCATCTCTAAGAGTCTGATATGAATTCTGGTCAGCCCATCTTACTTGGTTCAGGTCGGCCAAATAAATGGAAATCTTCCATTTATCCATCAAACCCGGGAAGAAAGAAGTCAAGTCTTATCGGCAAAAAGACTTTCCTATTCTAAACATACATAAAAGACCGACCTGATCGGTTATAAATACGGGAAGTCTTCGATCATTCAAGATCATCCAAAATACTCTTTCAAGACCAATGGTAAACTAAACAATCTTATTGTTCTTAGCTCTCGATTTACTTTCCTTAAAAGTCTAGTTCAGTGTTCTTATTCCGACAACCTAAACTACCTTGTATCTCTCAAGCTCCAGCTCAACTCTAATAAAGATCTCTCTTTAAACCCTTAAAATCCTAGTTCTCTTATAAGTCGAACTTGAGTTTTTACAGTTGACGCACTGAGGGGAATAAGAGACTAAGTCTTTAAAGAAGCAGAGCTTGCAGATGGTTGATACACCTATCAACCCTGACACTACCGACCTTACAAGAGGAGTCACCGATCTCACCGGAGGACTCACCGATCATGCAGGAGGAGCTGCCGATCCCACCAGAAACATCCAAGGCCTGATCGTCGATCTGATCACCGGACTCCCGACAGACGATCAGACCAGCATACCGGCTGATAACACGACTGCTGCACAAAACACCAGTGAAACAGGCCAGGTCGGCCACACTGATGGAACAAACTCGGCCGACCTGCCACAGCCACCTCCCATTGACATGGCCACTATCATCAGATCGGTTGCAGCACAGCTCCAATAAGGCATGGATGCTCGCTTCAAGTCCCTCCGCGCCGAACAGATTTCCTACCGAGAAGACCTAGATCGGCTTCTCAACGCTAGGGTTCATACCCAAGAGCCGGCCGATCTGATCACGCCCCCGCGCCCGCCGATCCGCAATACAGATACGACTAGACTGGTCAACAACCTGTTCGGCACCACACCGACAGACGACCTGCGGAGAGCACAAATGGAAGACTCCAATGCTCGCTCATCCCATAACACCACATGTGCCAACCTGACGACGGTCTCAGAACTCGACCTTCTCCATCAACACCTTGACGATATGAACAGCAAGATCCATAAGGCGACGACCTCGGCATCGGAGTTGGACAAAATCCTCCAACAAACGCAGCAGACCCCGTTCACATCGGCAATCACCAAGGCTCCTCTCAAAGACATAGGCCGGATGAAGCTACCTCCAAGTTACACCGGCACGACAGACCCGAAACGATACCTGACCGCGTTCAACGCAGTCATGGGGTGAGCTTGCTTCACCGACGAGGAACGGAACGCATGCCTCTGTCAGTACTTTGTGGAGATGCTCTCCGGAAGCGCCCTCACCTGGTTCTCGCAGCTTCCTAAAAATTCTATCGACAGCTACAAGGAACTCACAGCTCGGTTCTTTAAACATTATTCGATCTACATCGACACGGAGTCTACGGTGCTCAACCTATGGGCATATGTCCAGGGCGACACGGAACCGTTGCATGACTTCATTGACCGGTTCCGGTCCATCGTTTCTCGATGCAGCTTGTCGGACGAGCTATCTCTCAACATCCTCATCAGGAACTTGAGAGACGATCAATCATACTGCGAACGGCTGAAAACCGGGAAAACCAAAACCCTAGAAGACGATTTGCATAAGGCGACCGGCTATATCTGGGTTGAAGAAGATCGGGCAGCCAAGGGCAAAGCCAAATTGGCTGACGAGAAATCTTCACGCAACAAGAAATCCAGATCGTCGAATCAGGATGGCTACCAGGAGCCTCGTCAGCACTACGACAATCAACGTCGTTGGACGGCAGACGAAGTGGAACACTTGGGATCGTTTGAGCGCCAAAGATCTAGACAGCAAGAAGCCATGGTGCAAATACCACAAGGCACACGGCCATCATACCGATGACTGCCGTACCCTCCCGGCCCTCTTGTGGAAGGCATGGGAAGATGGCGAGTGCACCATACCAGAGCCCCGAAGTTCAGCACGACGATCAGATGACGATCATGACAGGCGACCTGACAGCGATTGAGATAGAATTGCTGATGCCGATCGTCCATCAACCAAACACGAAGGGAAGGAAACGAAACGTGACCGTGAAGACGATCACACACCCCCGACTTCGCCCCGACAATGAATCAACATGATTATGGGAGGGCTCTTCTCGTGCACCGACTCGATCAATTTGATCAAACGGCATGAGCGAAAGGCAACTAACCCCCCGAAAGACGCCCTACCGCTGTACAAAGACGATCTCCCAATCACGTTTGCAGAGCAAGACGCGCAGAATATCGACCGCCCGCATAACAATCCACTCGTCATCTCACTTCGGCTCGGAGAAGACGACGTCGAAGATATTGATCGATAAAGGTAGCTCGGTCGATCTCATCTTCATGGACACTCTACGAAAGATGAGTATCCCCGAGCGGGACATCAAATTCGCACCATCACCCCTCACCGGGTTTGCTAGAAATTCAATCTCCACGATCGGGACCATAACAATGCCTGTCACCATAGGAGGAAAGTCCATTACGGTCACGTTCGAGGTCATCGACCGAACTGCGATCTATAATACTATCCTGGGAACACCCTGGCTGAACGCCATGCGGGCTGTCCCAACTCCGTATCACCAGTGCATCAAAACGCCGATCAGAGGCCGTATCTTCACCATCTGTGGTGATTAGACGATATCTCGGCATTGTTACGTCGACAAACAGCGCGCTCGCAAGGCATCGACGTTCATGATCGGCAGCAGTTGTGACTTCGATCCACTGATAATCCACTACGAGAAGCCGAAGAGCAACCTCATTGTCCAAGTTAACATCAACGTAGCCCACCCCGAACGCTGCATTAGCATCGGCACGGAGCTGTTGCCAAGTATGTAGGACGAGCTGATCACCTTCCTCCGGGAGAATGTCGAAACGTTCGCGTGGTCAATGGCCGATATAAAAGGCATCAGCCCTCAAATCACAAATCACGAGTTGAACGTAGACCCCACTTTCAAGTCGATCAAACAGAAGCGACAGAAGTTAGGACCTGAGCGGGCAAAAGCCGTATATGATGAGGTCGATAAGCTGTTGAAGGCCGGATCAATTGCCGAAGTCAAATACCCGGAATAGCTCGCCAACCCGGTGGTAGTCAAGAAGAAAAATGGGAAGTGGCGAGTCTTTGTGGATATCACAGACCTCAACAAGGCTTGTCCGAAAGACAGTTTTCCTCTTCCTCGTATCGATCAGCTCGTCGAGGTAACCGCAGGCAACGAGCTAATCTCCTTCAGGATACAACCAGATCCTCATGAACCTGGACGATAGTGAGAAGACCGCATTCATCACATATCGATGAACTTATTGCTACAAGGTCATGGCGTTCGGTCTGAAAAACACCCGAGCCACTTATCAGCGCCTTATCAATAAGATGTTCGCCGATCAGCTAGAGAAGACGATGGAAGTATACATAGACAATATGCTCGTCAAACCGGCTAAAGCAGCCGACCACATTGTTCATCTGTGCGAATGCTTCTAATACTGAACCAGTATGGCATGAAGCTCAATCTCGCGAAATGCACCTTCACGGTCACATCTGGTGAATTCCTAGGATACTTGGTCACTCATCGTGGGATCGAAGCCAATCCCAAACAGATCTCTGCCATCTTGGAGCTACCCTCACCGAGAAATACTTGCGAAGTTCAGCGCCTAACAGGAAGGATATCCGCGCTGAACCGATTCATATCTCGGTCCACAGACAAGTGCCTACCCTTCTATCAGCTTCTACGAGGCAACAAGCAATTTGAGTGGGACGAAAAGTGTGTAGAAGCGTTCCTGCAACTCAAAAACTATTTCTCCACACCTCTGATCCTGGCCAAACCTGAATACAGCGACACTCTGTTACTTTACATAACGGTTTCCAGTGTGACAATCAGCGGTGTCCTGGTTCCGGAAGATCGCAGAGAGCAGAAGCCGATCTTCTACTTCAATAAAACTTTGGATGGCACTGAGAGTCGCTATCCAACCTTGGAGAAGCTCGCTCTCGTGGTGGTCGTTGCTTCAAGGAAGTTGCGTCTTTATTTCCAAAGCCGTGCTGACTAGCCAACCTCTTTGATCGATCCTGCACAGCCCGACACAATTCGGACGCATGACAAAGTGGGCCATCAAACTATCCGAGTTTGATATCGAGTATCGAACACAGACCTCTGCAAAATCCCAAGTTTTGGCAGACTTCTTGATCGAACTATCACCTGAACTCTTGCACGCCGACCCGGCAAGCTCAGAGATAT